TTTAGAATCTGTGTTAGTCTGCTTTCTTGTTTAAGTTTTGAAATGATAAACTGATTTCTATTAAGGATTCCCATTCATCAAAGTTCATTTTAAATCACAGTCTTTATAACAGTTTGTTAATTTGTACTTTAAAATTCTGTTGTCTTCATTTAAATATCATTCAAAACTGAATGATACTTAGCAAACAGTTTATTAAACCTCCACTTTAATGTAACATGCATTACCACAGAAATTTATTCCTGGAATTAGCTGCCCCTGGATCTGTACTCCAGCTATAGATTTCAGTTCTCCCCTCAGCCGTAAATATACAGTATGATCCTATAAAGAGGGTTAAATACCTGTTTAAAAATACTGAAAATGTGCTTCCATTTGCAGTTAAAGGTACCTTGTTAAGGTTTTGTCCACTAGTGGCGCTGTAGAGCACTGTTTTGTTGTATTGCTTATACTGTATTTCCTGCTCTTGCACTTGCAAGTATGCAGGCATATAATGTAAATTTCTGCAGAGGTCAGAGCTAGCATAAAAGGCAACAAAGCACCAATAACAGATGAGAGGTAGAACAACACAAGCTAATATTCAAAACCTAAATAGAGCCTTGTTTGTTAAATGTTTTATGGGGGTTAACATTGCATTAATCGTGTTAAATAAAATATAATTAGTAAAGTTGTTGGTAATCCTTCACTGATCGTCACAGTATATGCACATTTGTTCTCTAAATTACTGGAGCCAGCAATGAGCAAACACAACACACTCTGATAGACTAAGTATTGAAAGTCACATCCTATATGCTGGCATGCTGTCCTGTCTATGCGTCTCCTGGGACATTAACCCCTAACCCCACCCCCTCCTGGGGGACTAATTTGTGTAATTTGTAGGGAGGGGTGATGTGTTTTGTTGCTTGTCAGAAACAATCACTCCCAGCCCATTACATTTATAGCATGTCGCACGTTTGTTGCTGTAACATGCTGAGACTCGGAAGGTGGCTCTGAGAAGACTGTTGAGAGAACTCATAGATTTCCTCATCAGGGAGATAAAAAGTTAATAAATGTCTGTGAAAGTGGTCTTAAAGATCTAAAATGCAGATGCTGGGAGCACCTGATGGCCTTTTAGAACTGGCTAAATCAGTTTTCAAACTAAATTCTTTTAGTATTTTTCCCCAAGCTTTAAGGCTTGAGTGAATAACTTTATTTAGTGTGCCTTCTGCTGCCCCCGCCCCTCTTGTGTCCTCTGCCCTGGCCCACCCGTCCTCTCTGTGTTCTGTTTGGGCACTGGAGGTTGTCAGTTGGGGGTTTATGTCCAGTTCACTGGAGCTGAAAGAAGTCAGTTTTCTGTCTTGTTATGGAACAAGATGTCTCTGCCTCTCAGGAGTGATGAGAAGCAGTCTGGGTGAGCAGGGAGAAGGACCATCCCATGAAGGCAACCAGCAGTGATGAAGTCAAAGCGGCTCTTATGTCACTGCCGATGGCTGCGTGTTTGGTAATTATCCCCCCTGACATGAGCACAGCCTTCCAGGAGAAATCCCAATGCAGCCAGTGCACGGAAGAATGCACAACACACTGTCAACAAAGATTAACTCCTCGCGCTGCTGCAGAGATGCCTGACTGGAGGAGACACAGCAAATACATGAAACCCTCTCTTGTGTGACGTGCCAGTGATCTATAGCCCGGCTGTTTCAAACTGTTGCAGTGCTTAGACAGTGACACCTGTAGAGCTGACACACCTGTCACAGCCACCTCCTCCACCCTTCACCTTCTTTAGACTATTAACTCTTGTCCGGTGGTGAAAGAAGTAGGCTATTAAGATCTTTTATGTATTATAAAAATACTCCAACACAAGTAATAGTCCTACTGTACATTTAAGATTCTAAGTAGCTACTAAAAGGTAAAACTAAACTAAAAGTACTTATTTTGCAGACTGACATAATATTTAATGATTGTTAGTAATTATTTTACAGTGGAGCTGGATTTAATGACTTTATATACAAGTCCAGGTGCCAGCAGGGGACAGCCAACACATAAAGTCCTGCTGGTGAACTTGAATGGTTTTACTATAGTCTTTTTGGGGGGAACTGTTAACAACTCAAAGGCAGGGAACATGAGAAGGAGCCCCAATCTGACAGTGCTTTTCTGTGAGTGACACTTACTCCAGTGCTCTTTGCAATCCCATGCACCATTGCAGAATTTGTGTCCTTGTTTACAGTGTACAGTAACAAAATGACATGCTGACCTTATAGGCATTGCTTCATCATCTTACTCTACCCACCATCATGATCACCACCATCACCGTGCAATCAGTAGGTCTGCATGAAGACAAAAATAAACAGCCTATAGGCTGTTCATTTTTGTCAACAGTATCTTCCAACAAAGACTCCAGAGACTGTGATTCGAAATGTGGGAATTAATTTGTGGGAAGAAACCAGAGGGCCATCCGTTTCTTCCCTTAAACATCCTTCATTTAAACGGGTCTCAGATCAGCCCCTTTCAAAGGCGCAGAATAGGCCTGTCTTGATCTGCATCAATTGTCATCCCGGGGCTCAGGGGCACTTCGGCGGCCAGTACAGCGGGCGAAGTCAGGGCTAATCCCTGGAAAAGGGGAGAATCACGGGAGAGGAGAAAAGCAACAATAACCAAGTCAAGCGTATAAAATGAAAGCGAAATCTCTATTATCAGTCCCCGCGATTCCCAGCAAAGTGATGAAAATCAGGGTTAGTTTGTGATTCGAGTCAGACGCAGAGGGAAGAATATGGGGGTCCCTGCGGGTTGGGAGACTCACACAACGAAAAGGGCAATATTCTGGAGAAAGGGGAAAGAAGAAAGCACCTCTCCCATCCCGACATAACCATTAAATGCAGTCTGACTTTATGTTGTATAGAGAGTGGGGAACAAGAAAGGAGGCACAGTTCTCCGATGAAAGAATGAGGTTTTTTGGCGGATTAGGGACGGGCCGAGGGATGAAGAATAACTTCTGCATAACTTTACAGCTATTTTCTCTCTACACGCCAGGAGCCACGTTTAAGGCTGAACTGGTTCGAGTTAACCCTTTTGTGATTGTCCTGTTTGAAAAGGATCCACAAACTCAGATCCCAAACTGGACAAACATGTAAATGTAATTCTCTTTCATACACTCCATAAGATACAGTAGGTTATTATTATTATTATTATTATTTGGAGGTGCCTGAATCTTTGGTTCGTGGTCTTTTCTTTTTTCTTATATAATTTATTTATTTATTTTTATTGACATCAAACATGGCACCTGTGATTTTTTTTTTTTCCAAGAGCCCGGGCCCCAGGTTAGGAACCACTAGGCTAGACTTACTGCTAACTTTAGGTCTACTATAAAATTGTTAAACTAGCTCCACATCCGCCAGAAGCAACATACTGCTACATCGATGCAGTAACTAATGTCATATTAATGTAGAGTTTTACACAGAATGAGTACGTTACTTATAGGACCTAAAATGCAGGACTTTTATTCCACCTAATCAAGTATTAATCAATAGGTAGCCTACATATCTGACCAGTTTCTTCATTACATTTTATAGGCCTACTGTATGTATCATGCTCCAAATGAAGAGGAGCTTCTTGGACTGAGTGTGCTCCTGAAGGACTCTCATCAGCAGCAGCATCACATTTATGGACCTAATTAGTGATTTTTGTCATCATGGTATCTCTGTCTATCACATGCTAATGAAGGCATTTTTTTTTCTATCTGACAGTAACGGTCATTTCTAATAGTAATGATATGCCAGTTTTACTTGGTGCTCTGTTGATTAGCCTGAAAATCAGTGCGCTGTGATCAGAAGACTAAGCCTATAGCCTATGTTTTGTTATTTATTGTTAATCATAATTGAAAAACGAAAGGCATGTGCTTTGTGACTATCCACAACTGCAGAAAAAGCTAAAAGCAACATCATAAAGCGTTTAGGTTGTAATCATTTCTGTTTCTTGAGAGCCACACTAAAAAAATAATAAAAGAATGGGGAACATCTGAACGATTAGGTGAACTCTGGTCAGGAGAAGAAGAGTAAATGAGCTGCCGGTGTCATGTGCAGTGAGAGGAGCATTAGGGGCCAGAATCCATATTTACTACTGGAGTTGTGCACAGGCATGAGAATAGGCCGCTAATGCTGCGCGTATTCTCTCCCCCTTATTTTCATTAGGCTCTGATGACTGCGGAATTGATGCGGCCTGCAAGTTATCAAGAGCCACTAATTTCACATTAACGACCATTGACTGCAGTTGCTTGATTCGAGGGGGTTTTTGACAATTATCACAATCAGGATTGGAGCCCAAATCGTTTACCTTGACTCCGTGATTATTTGCTTCTAGCCGAGCGCACATTGCAAAATTGTATGGTGTCAAAAACCCGTAAATAATGAGGAGACCAGGAAGAACGGCTTTCTTTTTCCAACCCGCACTCCAGTCTAAACTGTAGGCAGTGACCTGCACTAGAATGTAAATAGCATCAAATCTTTGTGGGAAAAGACAGACACACAGACAGAGATAGGTTAAAAAGTGAGTCATACATTAAGTTTATAGGCCTATTATTATTATTATTATTATTATTATTATTAACATAATCATTCATTGATCTATATCTTTATTGGTATTTAGTTTAGAGTGATAATTATTTAGTATAATTAATATTATTATTTATATATTAGTGTGAGTATGATAACGATAATAATGGTGATGGTAAGAGAGCACCAGCTTTATTATTATATCCCACAAAAGTGGAAACAAAAACATAAACTTAAAGTGAAAACAACATTTTTAAATGAATGAAGCCAATAAAAGTAAAGAACAATAAAATGTTAAAAATGATAGTATTAGATATTAGAAGCGTATGTTACTAAACGTGGACTAAATAAAGTACTAAAAGATATACATATATAGTAAACAGTGTATACTTCAAGCTATACTATATGTTGTTTAATATAAATTCATTCACATGGAGGATATATGATACTGCAATGTGAGAAGTTACATCGCTGAAATGACATCTCGCGAGATGTCATGCGGTCACATGATCACGTGGGGCCATAACCAGGAAATCATGGGTTATGTAGAGTGAAAGAAGAACGGATTCTTTGTTCTCCACTTTTAACCATGTCTCTTTACAAAAACGGTGTCTTCTTGGTTTTATTAGTGCTAAATATTCACGGTCTTGTGTCTGGCGATGAAGTAAACCTTACCGCTTCAGACGTAGCGCACCGATTGAAACAGGTTTTTTTTGTGAGCCCCGCTGGAGCTCCTGTTTTCAAGCCTGGTTTAGACTCTTTCTCTCCTCTCAGTCTGCTGTCTTCCTTTCCAGAAGACCTGGAGATCAGTGACCACTGCAGCGAGCTGCTTCACCTATTTGGTCAACGGTACGTCGCCTATGTGAACTGCTTGATACCTGCAGCTCGGCCTGTCAAAGTGTGTCAGAACTGTTTCTCCAGTTATGGCAGCCTCTGGGAAATCTACCATTCTAACATCTCTTCAAACAAGGTACATGCCTAAACACAAAGCCATTTAAAAAAAAATCCGTTTTAGTCTCAGGTAAACAGTCTCCAGCCTGCCTGCATAAAGAGAACAGGCTTTGACACTGGCCTCATGAGTCACGAGTCCTGTGATAGTGACAAATTTGAGGAAACTCTAATTCGGCTTCTTGAGCAGCAGTAACACAATTAGCTAACCCACACAAAGCTCTTTCCCCCAAACCTGTTCAGGTCAGAGGACAATGTGGGCAGTTTCAAAAGCTTCTGCTGGTGTTTCTTGAAGTAGTTGGTGGTGAATTTTGAGCTCTTCTTTTGTCTTGTAGAACACATTACCTCTTCACTTTCTTGACTGAGTTTTATCCAGAATTTGCTGATATTCAAGGAAGAGGTTCTTCCCCCTATCTATGCATTGTGTCCTGCTGTGCCACACAACCACAAAGCACGCCCCTCCTCAACCTTTGCACAATAGTTTAATTTCTTTCTATTATTAAGTCCATGAACAGTGCATCAACATTGAATAAAGGCACATTTATTGTTGGTTTGCTGTAGGGGTTGTATTTAACTCTTTTCACTTGAAAAATCAACAATATGAAATTTCACAAGGGCTGGCCAAACATTTGCATTCAACTGTAGAAGGCAGCTGAGAGCATTTTGTGGCTGTGTCCTCAGGTGGGTTCTGGTAACGTGAGCTGCAGGGACAGTCTTCTGCGCAGTGATCGCCTGATGCTGGTTTATCAGCTGTACAGCAACTTGGAGGATCTGTGGAACACAGCAAAATGTAACAGTAAGTCTTCTGCAGGAGATGATTTTTATTGGCTTAGAATGTTATTAGGAATTTGGGCTTTTGTGTAAACGTTTAGCCCACACACGTGGGAATGCATTTGACCACAGAGGTCAGGGTGCAGGGTCAAGTAGAGGCAGTATTCAGTGTTTTGCTTAGGGCCCCTTCACTAGAGTGGGCAGTGGAAACACTGGATGTTGTAAAGATCAGACATGCCTTTCATTTTATCTCCAGCAATCAGGATATCCATTATATAAACCATAGGAGCTTGTGGCTATAATTTATAATTATATCAAACTTGTTACAGCCAATAGAAGAATGTGATTTTCTCATGAAAGATTTTTTTTTTATCAATCAGGTGATTGTTTTTCTCAGTTATTCATTCACCATTTATTTAGTCTAAAAATGAACAAAAATAATGAAAAATGCCCCTAGAAACATCCTTAAAGTATGAGTTGGTGCCATCAAATAGCACATTTTTTCTAAAATATTCAATCTACTATCATAGAGAAAAAAGAAAAGCAATAAATTATCAACTGAAAAATAGAAACAAGGGAATTCGAGCATATTTTTTTCTTAAATAGTAATATCAAACTGATGATAATCTACCAGTTGTCCTAACTCTGGTTTGTTTCTGAGTCTTCCTTTTCTCTGACACTTAACACTGTACTAAAGCTGATGTAAGGATTGTTTGTATTGTTAAACCAAAATAAGTGAAACATGGTTCAAATTTAGGAAAAAACTGGTGCATGTGGTTGATGTCATCAAGGTGAAATGTTGACAGAATGCAATCATGCATCTGATTTAATATGTCCACATTTACTGAATATATGCCTGATATATCAGTGATAGTTTTTATTTCCTGTTGCCAAGAATGTGTCACTGCAGGATTTAAGAGCCTGACCAATGACACGCTACACTTCATGACCACTCTCAACAAAACTCTCTCCTGTTTTGAGAAGTATCAACAGGTACAGTATGTCATTCACTAGATGATTATGTCTATTATGAGTTTATGTTGAGAAGATACCTATAAGGACTTTTGTCTTCACAGGGGAATCATACAGAGCTGTGCAAAAACTGTAAGAGCACATACAGAGAGGTGAACGAACTCTACAGCAGCATAGAGAAGAATCAGACTCTGTGTATCGACATAGAGGATGCGGTATGTATGTCAGGAGCAGAGATGTATATATGTAGAACACAGGAATCTGCACCCCCTAGAGGAATTCGTCAGAGTTGTCTTCATCCGCATTTAGTTGGTGACCAAAGGATGTGCTCAGGAACTTTTTGTGTCATGCCCAAAGTTGTACCAAGTTACATTAATAGGATTCCCATGAGTCCTGGAAAACCTGGGAATTTTGAAACCAGTTTTCCAGTCATGGAAATTGAGATAACTTGTACAATGTCCTGGAAAATAATTCTCACATTTTTGCATTTTCCTTTTGCTGAGAGCGAACTGTCAGATATCAGCATGAGCTGGCAGCTGAAATTAGGGCAATGTGTGAGATAAACTTAGAATGGCAAGGGTAGAGGTTTAGGGGCTGCTTTTAATAATGATTTTGTATGCTCTGAATATTCATTGGCTTCTAAATACACCATGTCACATCAGGTTGATGACGACGGTCTGAATATAGTAAATAAGGCTCCTTCTGAAGATAGAAGTCAAATCTTAACTCATCTGTAGGCACTTTGAGGATACTATTGTTTGCAGTGTTTATTGCCAATAAACCTACACAAATCCATGTAGAAATGATAGGACAGAACTCGTCTTGAATGTTGCTGTTTATTATTGCTTACTTTTTATTGTCAGAGTCAAATCAGATAACATTTACTTTTTTATTTTATTTTTATTTTTTTACTTATGCTAACCTCTAGAGAGTCAGGTAATTTTTTTCACCCTAAACCAGGGGTGTCAAACTCAATCGCACAGGGAGCCAAAACTCAAAGCACACTTTAGGTCGCGGCCCGAACAGGATAAAAATGTATTAAACAGACTAAAACTAAACGTTTTTTGAACATAAATATGAATCGAAACAGACAGGATACAGTATTATTCCAAAATAAATAAACTTGAACTTAAAATCAGCAACCGTATTTCTGCTAAGGCTTACATTTGCCAAACACCTGCTTTTTGTCTGGACACATGACATCGCACACTTTCATCATGCAGAAAATGTCCTGGAAAAATATTTGAAAAGCATTTGGACCCTGATTAATCTGAAGTTTAACTCTAGAACTTGGAAACAACACAAGGCCAAAGTCGAGTGTTATACTGAGAACTACTGAAAAAAAAAAACAAGTATGTTTGAAATTGCGTTGTTTTTTTTGTTTTTTTTTGTCAAAATTCATGAATAATAACAATTTGTATTAATTTTTAATTAAAATCTGAATAAAACACTGAAGATGGAAATCTTGTGCGAAGACAAGAAGTGTGATTTTACTTTTTTCTGCCTTTTCTTCTTCAGAGTTAACATTTTAGATCTGATTATGAAATTGGATGTTTGTCATGGTTTCCTTTAGTTTTATAATGTGTCAGTGGTTGAAAGATGGAAAATTTTCAGATCAAATACAGCACAGTTTAAAATTTGAGAATGAAATTCTCAGTCTTGAATTAGTACTAACACAGTCCTCTAATTGCAGTCATCTGGGCTGAAGTTTGTTATGTTGCCTTGTTTCAGATGAATATAACCCGCAGACTGTGGAGTACGAATTTCAATTGTTCCTTCTCCCGCGAGGAGACGGTGCCTGTCATCGTCGTCTCCAGCTTCATGCTCTTTCTGCCCATCATCTTCTACTTGAGCAACTTCCTTCACTCTGAACAAAAGAAACGCAAGCTCATACACCGTGAGTAACCAGCTTAATTCGTCCATTGTTACACACACAGATTTTTTGACAGGGTTTTGAGGGGTTTGGGGTTTTTTTTTTTTTTGGACGGGGAGGGGCTTGACTGACTGTGATATTGGGGTTTGGCTAGGAGGGAGGAGGTGGGGTGTTGTAGATTGTTCTAAAGAATAGTGGAGTTGCCTCCTGCAAACTCTGGATCATGGAGGTTACAGGATTATTTTCTGTGGTGGTGGATGATGGGTACCTTGAAGGATCAGGCGGCGTTTCCCAACACCCAAGAATTAGGAGAACTTTTTAGGTAGTAGGTAGAGAGGTGCTGCTGAGTGTACAAGTGCAGGAAGTATTCGTACAAACAGATTTGTTATCAAGTAGCAAGTCAAAGTGATGTAAGAAAATTTGTTGTGTTTTTTTTGTAGTTTTTTCATTGGTCTGTCCTACTGTATGTGTCATGTACAGAAAGTTTCAAGATTTTAATGCCTTAATTTAAAATAAATATAAGGGAACTTATCGCAAAATTAAATTGTTTGCAATTTTATTACTAACATTTTCCATTTTACTGGGAGCTGTTAACAAAACTCATTCTTATTTTTCAAGCTCTGTATGGAGGTCTTTGAAGGTGAACATCCTTCATTGCACCTGAGAGTGTAACTTTACCTGTTGTATAGGCTCATTATTTCTCATTGAGTATCTGCTTGACTGTCTTGTCTCCATGTTTTTGTTTCCTTTTGCAGTTTGTTTTTTAACATCTAATGCTGTTAACCGTCTTTATTTCTGTGACACAACACTGCTGCCCTGATCACAGGTTTTTAGCACCTGTATTAATGTTATCAAAATGTTTCAAGGCCCCTGCTATCATCGCTGGTGTCTGATACTGCTGAATGTTTTTAATCTGCGTTTTGGATGGCAAGGTTGATAGCTGTGCACTATGAAATTCTTATTTTAGTTTTTTTTGTGTGTGTATGAAACCTGCCTACAAATGGAGCAGAACCTTCTATGGCAGTTTAGGGGCATTCATTATGTTAATGATCAAGTCACATGACCACTCATGGTGTGCATCAACTCATAAAAAGCAATTATGGAGTTTGAAGAGTTAAGAGTACTGAACTCAAAACTATCATACAAGAAAAGTTCATGGATTTAGTTAAGAGGGTTAGGATAAGAAAGTGGACAAATGATCTGGGATGATTCCCACTGATTTGGCTGTGGCCACGGAACCTGGATTCATCACAAGCATCTAGGTTTTTCTCTGATTAATGCACCTTTTATACTTCAGAAGAAACCTTTGGGATGCTAGTTCCCAGAGTAGCTCAAGAAGAAATGTAACTGTAGTAATGTATAATCTCTTTTTACAGCCAACAGAGCGAAGTCGTACACCAGCTTGATGAACATTCCAGACAAACTGAGCTGAAGAGGAGAGAGCTGATCACTGAAAGAGTGGACAATGCACTTTATTAAAGGTTACAGTATGGGAGAGGATTTGATTTCTCACTGTCTTTTGCCTCCAGTTTGATGGACGTCTGTGGTTCCAATCAGTATTTTAAGGACTTCAAAGATTTAAATAAATGAAAGTGAAATGCACTGGAATTTTTAAATGCACGTTGTTCACGTTCATTTGCTTTCATATCCATAGTCTTCTCAAAATGTAGTAAATGTGCTGGAGTGTCGAAAATCAATTTCTCACAGAAAAGTAGCCTCCTGCTGCCATAATTAAAGATCACCTTTGCTTTGTGAAATTTAACCAGATTAAACTTACATTTTGGATTTCTATGAGACAGGACCTGTGTACATATCATGTTGCTGCACATAACGCTGTTAATGCTCAGCCAGATCCTGGCCTCTCCTCACTCCCAACTCATTAACAATCTTCAGGTTATTGAGCGCATCCTGCAGAGGGACACAGGCTTCACTAGAAAGAGTGAGTGGCTTGAATGCAGTGTGTGTGTGTGTGTGTGCATGCGCAAGTGAGCTAATGTGTGTATGTGCCCTATTTATGGGTTAAAAAATGGGATTTCTTTCTCTAATGTATGTCCAGAAGAGAGCTACAAAAAGGAAGCACTTGATGTCCATTAGTGGTGACATGTATCTGCTGTAAGAAGAGGGGATGCACACCAATGGGGTGGGGGTGGTGGTGGGGGGGAGTAAATAAAGACAACACATAATGTAAGAGCACTCCAAAGTACCACACTGTGATGTTGCCTGTTTTCTAGTCAGTGTTTTTGTGGTTGCATAAAGCTTTTAATGCGCTTTGTTGTCGTTTTCCACTGATGTTTAACTTGATATGTTAAGGGTTTCTGACTGCTCATGCCGTGAAGTCTCCTTTATGAGCTGAGTGTTGAATTGGTGAATTTGCCCATTAGAGATTCATTTGCTGTGAAGTAATGTAAACATTGATTTCAAGACATAAGATTTAGATTTTTATGTTGCGCGGTTTATGCGCTGTAATCTAACCGCAGTCTTTTTAGTGCTGATGATCATTTAGTTTCATTTGGAGAGTTGATGAGAGGGTTGGAAAGCACTTTAGTGGTTCCACTTTATGTAGTGTAATATTTCAGCATTTCCCACTGAGATGCAGTGAGATAGAACTGTTTACTTCAGGGCATTAATGCAGCAGCTTCTTGTGGCATTGCAGATTAACATTTTCATCCCGAATCTCTTCTCATAAAACTACCCAACCATATATGAACTAGTTAAAATGAGCTCCATGTTGACCAGGTCCAGGTTTAAAACACTGATTACATGGTAATGCATCTGGAATAATGGTTTGATGTTATATATTGTGCAATAATAACACTGAAAGAGGCCAGTCTGTGCAGCGAGCAGTTCTACTGTTGATATTTTAGGAGCATTATGCTGTAAATAGGCCTAAATCTCTTTTACTTGTTAAAAGGACTTAAGTATAGTTTTCAGGTACTTGTAATTCACATTACTTTATGCATCTACTCTGAAATGTACAGCCCTGGACTCCATTCATCTATTCCGCTGCAGTACATTTCAGATGGAAATAGTCATTTTTTGATTACATTTACTTTGACAGCTACTAGTTTAATTTCCGATTAACATTTCCTCCAACATCTGTGATGATCTTGTAAAATCTGATGCACCATAAAACAGATGTTATTAAATTTCTGTGCATATTACACATGAGTAATGAAGTAGCTCCACACTCAATGTTGTAAGAGTAAATGAATATATTTTATAATAATACACAGTGAAAGGAGCCTGTCTGCGTAATGTGTAGCTACTTTTACTTTAGTACATGTCGCTGATCATAACCTGCGTCTACACTTTGAGTGTTGTGGTGTGGTTAAAGCTGTGGCCTCACACAGGAATGGCCCTTGTTCTCAAGTTACGTGATCTTGTGTTTCTTGCAGCCAAATGTTTCCTCCGTCATTAGCAGCTAATCTAAACGTGGGATAAAGATACTTGGACGAATAATCGCAGCAACATATCCGTTAAACTCCTTTGGCTTTTTGGTCTTGTGGAGCGCAGCCGCTGCCGGCCATCAGCGGGTCTAAGAGCATTATGGATGTGGCGGATCATATGATCCGGCTGGGGCCAATAGAGCGGATAAAAACACGGGCTTTTGCGCTCCCGCACAGTGAAGTGTGCTTATCGGTGCGGTCTGGAGCTCAGGCATGACAACTTTGATTCCTGTTAAGCCTCTCTGCTTTTCTGAGGCGCACGGGGCCATCAACTGGGCCTCAAAGTCAGTAAATGCTCCGGCAAAACCCCGGCCACGTGACGGAGAGGACAAACGGAAAAACCCTTAATCCTCCTGGATTCAGTGATTTACAGTCAGAGATCTTTAACTTAAAGTACCAACAACACAATCTAAAAGTAATTTAAGTAAAAAGTCCCACATTCTGAATTTTACCTAAGTGAAAGTTCAGAGGTTATTGGTTGCAAAATGTAGGCCCAAGTAAAGGTAGCTTGTGCATTTTGGAGAGTGGCTCCATTCAGTGTGTATTACTGCATGTGTTGGATTATTCCTCTAAATATAGCAGAATAATATGTAACCAGAATTAAAATTTTAAAGCTACGCTTCTAGCATAGGAGTAAGCAGAAGAAGTACACAGAAGGAGGAACTGTACTGGGGATTTTTAATGACAAACTGTTGGCCCCACATCTGACTACAAGAAGAGTATTGTGTTGTTTGAGTGTTACAGTCTCAGTCATTGGTTCCTTGTACTTCACTTTTAGAGACAGAAGTGGATTTGGATTCTTTATTGTAAAACAGAAACACAAGCAGCAAAAGGAACATTTTTCATTTTAACTGATGTGTCAAGTGGGCACGCTTGTCCATTTTTGCATAGCCACAAAACAACATTTACAATATGCTTTTTATCACATTAGTTTATAGGAAATTGCAATGATGGAGGGAGCTGATTTACCTTCTCACTGAACTAACTACAGCCCAGCAAAATGTGCAGTGCACCAGTAATTGTGACCTAATTTCATGCAAAAGTATTGTATGCCTAATCCACTTGCAAAGAGCTTTGATTAAAAACATGCCTGAAAAAAATAATTCTATGGGAAGTGTGTTTATGTGGAAAAGAATTTGCATGATTCTGTAAACAGACTTATTTTGATCCTGACTTCTACTTCCCTGAATTTGGGGGGAAATTGCTCTAGTTGTGTTAAAGTTATGAAGCAAACAAAATGTTTATTAAAATCACATTACACCAGACAAAGGACAAAATGCATAATGGCCACTAGATGCATAGTTTATACACACTTACAAATAATGTTACACCAACAAATTACATTAAAAATGTTCAGAAATGTAATTAATACTCCATTATATTATAGTGTATCAGCAGCACCCAGGAATGAACTAACCAAGTCACTTTGTGACTCTTGAGCTTTAAGCCTGTATGTGTGAACCTGTTGTCTGACTTTTTTTTTTATAGCTCAGGGTGGAATAAAGTAGCTGTTGGAGCATGACAGTGGAAGCTGAATGTTTGAGTGGTTAAGTGACAACACACTTCCTCAGACCTTGTCTGATGAGACTGGAAAATGGCCTCACCTTCAGATCATTTACTACAATTATCTGGCAACATATGAACAGTTTTACTTAGATTTTTGTGCCATCGGTTCTTTGTCTCTGTATATCTGGATCTGTGTTTGTCAGTGTTCTGCACTATCAATATTTAAAGATTTAATATTGTGTAGCAGAAGATTTAGAGGTAACAGGGTTATGTTGTGCCTATTTGCAATAGATGCTTCAGGAAATGGCAAAACATACTTCTCTTTGCACAATTGCCTTGAGACAAAGCCAGTACATTTCAGATTTGATAGATGAGCAGGAGATGCTCTTCACATTGTTTCTGAATCTGGGCTTCTGTTTTCATTTTTAAGTCTTATAAAATGACTAGCCTGTTCATTGACAAGGTCATGGCTTCCTCTAGACTAAATGCCTTTGAATTTTCTGATGTCCTCCTCCACTTTTCTCTCTTCTGTACAGTGCTTTCCGTGTTATGAAGCAGCAAGTATCTCTTTCGTTAGGGCGATATTAAGAAAGTGTTTTTTAAGACTAATTATGTTATGCAACAACCAACAACAGCCTAAGCAGTCAGTTAGTTAACTGGTTGAAGGTCAGGCATAGATTATGCACCCCTCAACCCCTGAGCAATGAATATGATGCTTTGTTGAACCAAGAGTAAACATATGCTCCTGGGGGTAGGAATTAGCAGACACACACACATGCACCCTCTCTCACAGAGCATATGCAGAGTGAATGGGGCTTATTATACACCTGTGAGTGGGGTCAAAGTCTTGTCAATCCCTAGCTTATGGTATTATAATAGATTATAGAATCACTCTCTAATGGCGGTCATTCAGTTTGTAATCTCAGGAGCTTGATGCAAAAGCACTCAATGTTTCAGCTAAGGGTCTGTTGAAAATAAGGCCTTCTACTCATTCATCCCTTGCTTCCCCCTTTCACAAAGGTCTTATGACAAGTCAGCTGTTGGTGACATCACAGATGCTGGATCATATGTCAGAAACCTTTGCTACATGACTTAAATCTCTTATGGCTCAGCAGCAACAGAGGCCACTTGAGGGTAAGAGAATGGCAAGGTGCCCCGGGGGGTCAGGGTGAGCATGAGGGCTCCCAACAGGCAGGAAAGATGGGGGGGCATTCTTTAGGGCAGGAACATCTGACCCATGTATGGGTTTGTTTGTGTGGGCAGCCAGAGAGTGCCCATCTTGCCATCAGCTTGAGAAGACATTTACCATTTTATGTGGAGTGTGCATGAATTAGAAAGTGTATGGGAGTCACTATATTCCTGTTTTTGATCAGCACAAATATGAGAAAGACATGTCTGCAAATGGTGCAGATTTTTGAAACATGCCTCTTCAAAATGTTACATTTTGAGGCTATTAGACTGTAGAACCTCACTGAACTTTGATCACAAGACAGTAGCGCCATCTAAAGTCAGATTCTCAAAATGATATTAAAGGCACAGCTCTTGTCATTACCTTATGAAGAACATCTTACTGTTTTAAGTGAACATTAGAGCCCTTTTTTAATCTTTGAAAATAGAAATTCCCACATTAGAAATGTGCAAATTTAATTGTATGTCAGTTATAATTCAACAAGTTATACTGTTCACAAATGGAGTTTATTTACATTGAAATATGCTATCATGATTTTTGCAGACAGAAGTAACTTTAAAAAATTTTTCAAATTTTGACAAATGCAGATGTTTAGGTTTGAGCCTTGATGTCTGATATTTATTTTAAAAACTCATAGACTAACAAGCTGACATGTTTAGCTGGCATTAATTGTAACCTGGCTTTTAATTTAACCTAACTGGAACCCTCAGGCTGTGTTTTTGATAAGGTTACTTGTCCATATCAATTAAATGTTTACATTATTTTGTCCACCACCTATGTTTCTAATTCAGATTTGAATATATACCTTTCCCGGATAGTCCTTACCGTTCTGTAGCTATCATAGAAGTTGACTTAACATAACCAAGTACCATTTACATACAAAGGCAGCATAAAGTAAAACTGGGGATTCAAAGAGTTCCAGAAAATGTGACTTACAGAAAAAAGATGCCTCACACTATTGGTGCATGCAAAACACATCTGAAAGAATATACTTTCCTTAACCACAAATAAGTTTTGCAAAATGAATTTGCCACTAGATGGCAGCACAGTGTCATGTAATAGCTCACTCATACACAGTTGCAAAATAGAATCAACTTGCATTATATAGCTTCCGGTTGCAGATAAACGGCTTAAATCACAATTCTTTTCACAAACTGGTGCAGTTAAATCATAGTTCTTTCTTAATTGTATTCACTATCGCTGTTATTTCAGTCATAGAAGTAAATATATGCATTGTACATTGTAGATGACATAAAGACCATAAACACGTTTTTGCACTTCCGGTTTTATTCTTGGAGTTTCGTACATTGAGGAAAAAAATGAACTTAAATGATTTTAGCATATGGCTGCAATATAACAAAGAGAGACAAATTTAAGGGGGTCTGAATACTTTCCGTACCCACTGTATACTCTGAATAAAGAAGAAGTTAATAAGGATCCAGAAGACGCGTCTGAACCTTCTCTGATGTCCCAAAGTGAAGAGGCTAAGAACAGGTAACTGGACTAGCTAGCTTACTGTAAATAACTTATACCAAATAACTAACAGCGAGCTATACGTTTCCTGCTCCATGGACCCAGAGTACTTTGTGTATGTAGGGTTAATAGTAATGATGATCTACTGACGTTATGGGTTAAAAAATCATACTGTAGTTTTTATATATATTTGTTGCTTAGTTTTTTTTTTTTTAAATAGAATTGCTAAACATAAACTCTAGAGCCTCCATGGAAAAGGCGGAAGAAGACCCCAGGGTAGAGGTCACTGAGGGGCTCAAGGAGGCAGGTGGAGCAGGTCGAGAAGAGTGAAAAGGTTGTTGTAGTCTCCAATCCCGTTTGTGTCAAAGTCCTATTCAATTAAATTAACCAGTGTGTTTAATTAAAGGTCACAATTTTAATTATTACAATTTCTGTATGATTCCCAGTGATGAACAGTCATTTTATCTGAGAGTATTTATCTCAGGTGTTCAGTTTAGTTTATTTGAATTTAAAAGGAGGCTGAGATTAAGTTACACACAGTGGTTGTTGATGTAAAGATAGCAAAGATGCAGGTTGTGCCTTGACTGTTAAGCCATTTTGCCTGATAATGCTGTTTTGTTTGTTCTTTAAACAAAAACAACAAAAATAGAACATAGAATCAGTCATTAGCATAACCAAAAATGTAATGCATTATTCAGAGATAGCTACCGGTAAAGTTGTCATTAACATGACTCACTGTTTACTTGAGTGCAGTTTCTTGGCACAAAATCAAACTTAGATTAAATCTAACTTAATTAGGAAAATGGAAAATGTCCTCTTTTATTTTAGCAGACCGCTTCTCAGAGGATAATTAACCTGCAGAGAAATCTGATATTTGCGACCAACATCCAAACTGCAGCGGATGGAAAAGAGTCGAAGCGAAGGACAGAGTTGGAAGAAGCTCGCAGAATAAGGTAAATTTAAAAAGTTTACAGCTCTACCATGTGGAATACAAACTTTTAACACCTAATGTGAACATGTAAAAATATTTATTGCTTTCTCTTCTCCACTATCTTGTTTTTCCTTCTTGGTGTAGGTTAGAGCTGCTAGAGAAGAATGAAAAGTTCAGCCAGGAAACATTTGAGGAGGTCAACAGAGGGTGGTTGATGGCTAAGGAGAAGGTGATTCCTCAAGAACTGCAGGAAGTGCTCAACAGCCAGCAGCAGCTGTGTTCCCTTCTCTTAGGAGAGAAGAAAAAACTCAGCAATGACCTTCAACAAGTAACTATCAGTTTATTTTAAACCTTTCCGTAAAACTATGTATAAAGGAGTAAAATAAGGTTTTGTGTTTGCCACTGTCTTTTGAAAGCCTTGTCCATTCATGTGGTCTCTTTGTTGTCTGGAAAGGAGCTGAAGGCTGGAGATGATCGCTATGTGAAGGATTTGAGGAGACAGGCAGAAGAGCTGGACCTGATGATGGAAAGGATGGATGACCAGCTCAAAACCTTGACAAAGACCTACAGGGAGGAGATGACCCAGAACGAGGTAGAACCAAATCTGGGTGAAGAAGCTCTTTTACATAATTTGTCCACTTGAATCAGATGGATGAAGTTTGTTTTTCAGGACATCTAAATATACAGTGTCTCTTAAGTGAGAAACAATAAATTTGTTCATTGTCTTGCTTATTTTCACATTTTCATAACCTTTGTTGAAGAATGTGTTGAAATATCAATTA